GATGAGTTAACTCAAAATCATCAGAGTCTACAGTAGAGTTAACTCAAAATCATCAGAGTCTACAGTAGAGTTAACTCAGCATCATCAGATTCTACAGTAGAGTTAACTCAGAATCATCAGATTCTACAACTGAGTTAACTCAACATCATCAGATTCTATAGTAGAGTTAACTCAGTATCATCAGATTCTACAGTAGAGTTAACTCGCCATCATCAGATTCTACAGCAGAGTTAACTCAGCATCATCAGATTCTACAGTAGAGTTAACTCAACATCATCAGATTCTACAGTAGAGTTAACTCGCCATCATCAAACTTTGCAACTGAATTAACCCAACGTTGCAGTATATACTTTTTTGAACTCTGTTTAGAGTTATTTGAAATAGGTTATGAGTAGTGCAACAGTCGGAAAGAAATTCCAAAATATATTCACAAGACATAGTCGCTGAAGTTTAAAAAAAGAAAAACAAACATTAAAGATCTGATAGACAAACTATGTACAAGTTATATGGATTTTAGTACATATTTTAAATAATAATTTGTTATAAAATTTTATAACGTCTGTCATGAAAACGTAATTTGAGCTTTCTGTTGATTTCAACGTGTTTTATGATTTTCCTTCAACCCTGTTTCCTGTAATAACTTTTTCTCACTCAACATCAAACTTAACGACGATAGCTTTGATACGCACTTCACACGCCCTAAGCAATCAAAGTCGACATTGTTCATTCTCAGAAAATAAATATATATATATATCAAACAGAAGGTATCAAATCTCAAGTTCATTAGTGAATACGTTAATCTTGTCGGTTTTTTTTCGTATTTATACATTAGCTTATCCCTATCGTTTTATAAAGCAAGTTCTGGGCGTTTTTCAGTTATAAATGCCATATACTTTCTAGTTTCATGCAACATTTAAGGTTTGCAAATGACTTGACACACACACACTCTTTCTCACCCGACTCGTGCTTCCTTCTTTAGTCTGTCAAGGTAATTTCTAAGGACTTAATGTACCATTGAAGAAAAATGCTGTAGCATCACAGAACGTAAACGTCGTGGAAGACATCATTATACAGACATGTGTAAGAAGACACCAATGTTGTGATGGTTTATAGTCACTGTTAAAAAAAAATAGAAATGTGTAAGTCATTAATACGAGCTCCGTTGCTTTTATTTCATACGTGGGTAAATAATCCATCTGGACGTGATTTTATTTTTTTATATATAGTTGTTTAATTCGTTGCTGGACCTTGTAATGTATACTGAACGCGTGGTTAACGTAACCAATGAAGTAAAGACAGAAAATAAGCAAATAAAATTAAATTACTAATAAAAAAAAAATATAAAATCTTCAGTTTAAGCTAGACCTAGTACTTTGTACCATGGCAGCCATAACTCGCTTATATTTTATACTTATTATTATCATCCCACGTTGTGTCAACGGTGAGTTTAAGGACTTATAACATTACAATCTAGAAGATTCGATTCTCCGCAGTGGACAAAGCCCTAAAACAATCACTTGTTATTAATGAACAAACTAATATCCTATCACATGGTAAAAATAATTGACATAAGTACCTGATATATGTATAGAGAGAGAGAGAGGCTTGAAAACCTGTAGAAAGGAAAATCATTGTTTATAATGATCAGTGATCAGTCTTTCGCGGATTTCTTCATATATTGGAGAAAGTTTCACCCTATATCTCCCTTAGATTAGCGCAACACTACACTATGTCTTCCTTAGATTAGCGCAACATTACACTATGTCTTCCTTAGATTAGCGCAACACTACACTATGTCTTCTTTAGGATAGCGTAACTCAGCTACACTTTGTCTTCCTTAGATTCGTGTGACTCAGCTACTCTTTAATTTCCTTAATAGATTAGCGTAACTCAGCTACTCTTTGACTTCTTTATATTAGTGTAACTCAGCTACCCTTTAATTTACTTAATACATGACCGTAACTCAGCTACACTTTATGTTCCTTAGATTAGTGTGACTCAGCTACCCTTTAATTTCCTTAATAGATTAGCGTAACTCAGCTACACTTTATCTTCCTTAGATTAATGTGACTCAGCTACCCTTTAACTTCCTTAATAGATTAGCGTAACTAGCTACACTTTATCTTCCTTAGATTCGTGTGACTCAGCTACCCTTTAACTTCCTTAATAGATTAGCGTAACTCAGCTACACTTTATCTTCCTTAGATTAATGTGACTCAGCTACCCTTTAACTTCCTTAATAGATTAGCGTAACTAGCTACACTTTATCTTCCTTAGATTCGTGTGACTCAGCTACCCTTTAACTTCCTTAATAGATTAGCGTAACTCAGCTACACTTTATTTTTCTTAGATTCGTGTGACTCAGCCACCTTTTAATTTCCTTAATAGATTAGCGTAACTCAGCTACACTTTATCTTCCTTAGATTAGTGTAAATCAGTTATATATTCATCTTTCTTAGATTAATGTAACCCGGGATAGAAAGTCTCACTGTCCGTTTTCACACACTTTAAATGACACAACATACTGAGTTTGCTAAGAACGGGCCACATCTGTTTTTGGAAGTTGTTCTATACAGATTATTGTAAAATACATAGAGGCTTTTTACTGTTGTTTGTTTTTCTTTTGTGAAAGGAGTTAAATACAGGATTTCAAAGCAGGCTGTCTTGTTGGAATAAGAAATGTAAAAATTTCATTTTTTTCAGTTTTGTGTATGGTATAAAAGTGTAACTAAAATGCACACATGATTTAAACGTTCTATGCGTGAAAATAAATTGTTATATCCTTACGGTGTCAAAAACTACACGTAAAGGTAAAACAAAACAACAATACAAGTTTCGACTTAATATAACTAAAAAACGGGAAAATACATTCTGAAACCGTAGAGATTTCAACTGAAACTATGTAAAAACCATTACAATAGCTGATTTACATGGTGACATAGACACTAAAACACTATGAAAACAATAAAGAACTGGTTCTTTACATGGTAGATATATATATATATAGACACTAAAACTGTGAAAAGACGAGTTACATAGTATGAACACCTGGAGTCACTATAGAATGGTAGATAAATCAACATTTCATCAAACAAATTAGAACCGATTTCCACCATGCACTAATAACTTAATAACACAAAAATAGCTTGCTGTTTATAATGATCTAGTGGAGTTATATAGAACCAATCGCTTGTGTGAACTCTATTTCTTATAGTATACGTAATTGCTTAAATAACTTGCTGTTTATAATGATCCTACAAGCGATTGGTTCTATATAACTCCACTGAGTTCATATTTTCTTATAGTATACGTAATGCTTAAATAACTTGCTGTTTATAATGATCTAGTGGAGTTATATAGAACCAATCGCTTGTATGAACTGTACTTTTTTATAGTATACGTAATGCTTAAATAACTTGCTGTTTATAATGATGTAGTGGAGT